GAGACAAGATTCCCCCCTGGCGCGTGTGGAGAAACCCAGAGGCGAAGAATTTCCCCTTGATACTTCTGAAGGGACTACTTTGTTTGCTCTCAGACCTTATTTGCATATGAGGCGTGGAAATACCGATTTTGATTTCAGGGACGAATCAAAATAAACTGCAGTACATATGTAATAATACGCAGTATTGGCATATGCCAGTTTAAGCCGAACTTTGTTTCCTTTTAGCCCTGTGCCTTTCACTTCTTGACAAAAATGCTTGCACATCTGATATCAGTCTTGCAGAATGTAGTGTATATATTGTATGGTTTGATTGACTACCGTGTTCTGCTTACACTTTCATTCGGCAATGTACTGTACAAATTGTACCAACAACTGCAAACAAGATGGAGGGCTGAGAGAGACCTGGCAGGAATACCTAGTCCAGAAAATAGCTGAACGGAATGGTATTTAATTATAATAGGACTTTTCTGAAACAATTACCTTTACTCACATGATATTAGGAGATGGCAGGCGCATTGTTATAATATGACTATATATTTTTTCAGAGCCAGCGACTTTTTCATATGTTATCAGCTCGCAATTTACTAGTATATGTTCGTGTTTTATGAACCTTTTCGTTAAATATTAGTTTGAATCCCAAGTATGTACTAATACAATGTATTTCCATATTATAATCAAAGATTATTTTTATTCAAAACAGGATAAATGGTCTGACCTTAAGAAGTCGGTAGGATCTCGGACATGCTCCATAGAAGTGTTCGAGCACGCAGGACTTTTGACATTGGATATTTTATTGAAGTGTATATTCAGCCAAGACAGTAACTGTCGAACTACAAGGTATGTCAAATCACAGACTCCGATAAAAAAATGACCTTTTGATATCATATCACTTTACAACTTTACATATACATGTACATTTATTATAATTTTAAAACTTCTTTTTCAGTTCTCAACACCCATATGTCAGTAGCGTTCATGCTCTAACATATCTGATAGCTGAACGCGTTAGCTGTATACCTTACCACAACGACATGGTATATAACTTGTCCATCAGTGGATTTAAATTCAGGAAAGCCCTCAGATCAGTTCATGGTTATTCTGCACGAGTTATTTATGAACGAAATCAATCTCTGCTACAAGATGGAGATGTAACACTTAAAAGGAAAAACATCGATTTTTTAGATATTCTCTTGACTGCTAAGGTACTGGTTTAATTATAATCTACACATTGGGAACAAGCAATGATAAATCGTATATAAAAATACATTTGAACTCCCTATCCCCAAATGTTTCGATTATAAATAGACAAATAAAAACATCACATCCACAAATGTATTTCAGGGCATTGCATTAGTAGTCTACTATACTAACAGGGTTTAGGGTTAGGGATTTTGTTTTATGCTAACATAATGCAAATGGTGACGTTGCTACTCTGGGATATGTTGTCTATTTTGTAAATAATAATTCAACTAAAAACATTACATCTTTTGCTCGATATGCTATATGTGAAGAAACAGTGTTTAGTCGGTATTACCCCTAGTTAGTCGAAATATACTAAGTATTGTCGATTATGTTATGCGTCTCGCCCATTTACGAAAAAGCTCTATGGAGTGCGTATATAAGGTCGTTCGCTGGAATTAGAACAGATATTCATCATTTTCACTATGGTGTTATTTCATGGCTGGCAACCATGTTGGAGCCATTGAACATTAGTTTCTCTGGGAAAAAGATCTCTCCTTATCTTCTAATAAGATGGATAATCCTGGGGAATACTAATTATTTATGAAATAATGGTTTTGCATGGATTCTCATGGAAATTGTCCCAAAAATAATGATTGTCTCTAAAACCATGCCTTGTACCGGGTAAAACCTAAAAAAATGTTTTGGCATATATCTTCATAAAATGTTTACCCTATGTAATAGGTCGACATACTCGCCAACGACTTTAACCACAGGGAGCCCAGGAACTATAATCAACTGTAATACGCAGTCTCTATGAGCGGGGGGGGGGGGGTGGTGGTATCGGCTGGTATCTAGTGTAAGAAATAGAGAAGGGATGAAGGCTCCAGCCAGCTCACATTTTCTAAACTCGAAAAAACAGACGAAAAGAATAAAAAATAAAATATAAAAAAATTACCAGGTTGAAGAATATTAGTTGCTTCTTCAAATTTCGCCCAAACCCTA